GTTTGTGACGGGGGGTACTAGAGATAGTTGGCAGGTTTTGTATTTTGAGCTGTAGGAAGTTGGCTTCAGTTCTGGTGAGGAGGTTAGGTGTTTGTTTGAATGTACAAACCACTCTTCAGAGCTGCACTTCATCAGCCTCCTAGGTAGTAGGTACAGAAACTCATGGACTCAATATAGGCAGTGGAGTTCTGACATGCTGCAACCTGCCAGGCGTCTGACTCCCCATGTACCTCAGCACTTTTACCTGTGCTGATACATCCCTCTCCCCCCCCACTCCCCACCCGGCCTGCCTCTCACCCTCTGCCGCCTCCATTTCTATTGTCACTGACTGGCTTTCTTGCCTGCATTGCATGCCAGCCTCTGGCTTCTTTACTATTCCTTCCATCCAGGAAGTGCACACACACCAACTGCAGGTGCTTCCTTACCCTGATGAAGGGTTTTCAACCCAAAAGCTTGCTAAGATAGATTTCTCCAACTATTCAGTTTCTATTAAAAGATATCAGATTGGCCCAAAGAACCTTGCCTGCTATGTCCTTAGACCAACACGGCTACAAGCTATGCCACTAGCACCTGTCCCTGGTCAGCTGACTGGAAGGAGGCAGGGCGCTGGGCACATCTAAGTCCCAGGGTGGGGGCTGGCAGGAGAGTTCTCTGGCAGCTGCTGGAGAAGAAGCTCCTGCAGGAAAGGAAAGAAAGGCTCTGCGGCGGTTTGGCTGCCTGAGATGCTAGTACTACTGTACTGCTTACCTGTTGCTATTTAAAGTGTTGGACCAGGCTGAGTCTGTAGGGGAGGAGGAGGCCTCGTTGGGGCACACTACCGTGTCATGCAGAGGCTCCAGCACTAGTGAGGGTGCAGCAACAGGGGCGTAGAGAGCCCAGCAACAATAGAAGGTACAGTGAGACCAAGACTTTGTTACAGGGACAATATTGATATACTATATGCAAGGCATGGGGCGCGGTATAAGGTGTAAGGTGTCCCTTTGAGGCACCTACTTAAAGCGGGTCCCAGCAAGGTGTCCAAGAACCTACAGGGTTTAGTGGGGTCCATTAGGACCATGACTGAGCTAAAGCTTGAGGGCAGACTCCCTATTATCGTTTCCAACAAGATGTGGCAGCAAGTGAGAAGAGAAGGCGTCCACAGGGTGGAGCCGGCATGGTCACAGGGCCCTAGGGGTATCACGGCCATCTCTAGGGACCCTACTCCATGTCAAAGTGCATTTTCCCAGAAACCCCTGCACCTATCTCCTTAAAACTTGGTAGGTGTCATGGCCTCAGCAGTGGCTGCCATGCCTGCTGTTTTCACCCCACTGTACCTTAACACACACAAAATCACACGTCATGAGTTTTGCTTGTCAGCACCTTGAGGTGCAGTTTCCCAGAACCAAGTGGCAATGTGTAGGGGGTGCACGGGGGTGCACATGCACCCCCAGAGAGCACTGGTGCACCCCCTTACAGGCCCTACTCCCTGCTTAGTCAATGTGCGGGGGGCAGGCAAGAGCACCGGTGCCCCCGCTATGATCGCTGGCTGGACAGCGGGAGTGTCGGATGTAGTGCCGCAGCCACTTCCCGGAGCACCGCGGCTGCTTCCAGGAA